CTTTAATTTTAAGATAATTAGAAGATGCTGGTTGTTTCCAGAACTTTCCAGCTGCTGACATACCTACTATCTTCAAAATCTTTTTTTTTCCTCTGGTTGGGAAGACAGTAAATAAGGACCTTTAAATTGTCGTTCTGCTTTGTTTTGGTGGTTTGCTTCTCATTTTTGTTTATAGGGTTACCTCCCTTTCAAAATCAGCGCTGGGAGGGGGGGGCTTACGAAACATCCCCCCCCCACACCCCTGCCCCATAACTTGAAAGTGGGGGAAAGCTGCAAGTTTCACAACAGGCTTTTTTGTTGGTGTGATTGCGTGCAAAGATGTGCAAGGGGTGAAGCGTTCAAGAGTACCAGGACAATTTGTAAAAGACAAATAGCCAGACATACAGACACACATAGACACAGTCTTTCTCTCTCTTTCTCTTTCTCTCTTTCTCTTTTTCTCTCTCTTTCTCTTTCTTTCTTTCTTTTTCTTTTTATCTCTCTCTCTCTTTCTCTCTTTTTCTTTCTTTCTCTTTCTCTTTTTATCTCTCTCTTTCTCTCTCTCTCTCTTTCTCTCTCTTTTTATCTCTCTCTTTCTCTTTCTCTTGCTTTCTCTCTCTCTCTTTTCCCTTTCTTTCTTTCTCTTTTTCTTTCTTTCTCTCTCTTTTTCTCTCTCTCTTTCTCTTTCTCTTTATATCTCTCTCTCTCTTTCTCTTTCTTTCTTTCTCTCTCTTTTCCCTTTCTTTCTTTCTCTCTTTCTCTCTCTCTCTCTCTCTCTCTCTCACACACACACACACACACACACACATACACACACAACCACATGCAGTTTGTGTCCAACTATAGCTTCTTTTTAGAGCTGGATACGCTGCAATACAGGTCATCCTCAATTTACAGCAGTTCTTTTAGTGACTGTCTGAAAATAGTGACTTGCGACTGGGTTTCACTCTTACAACTGTTACAGCCTCCCCGTGGTCACGTGATCAAAATCCAGACGCTTGGCAACTGGCTCGTATTTATGACGGTCGCTGTGTCTCCCGGGGTCGTGTGATCCCCTTTTGCGACTTTCTGAGAAGCCAAGTCAACGGGGAAGCCAGATTCGCTTAACGACGGTGTTCCTAACTTAACAGCGGCAGTGGTTCGCTTCACAGCTGTGGCAAGAAAGCTGGGGCAAAACTCAACAAATGTCTCCCTTAGCAACGGGAAATCTGGGGCTCCGTTGCGGTCGTAAGTGGAGGATTTACCTGTACGTCGAATTTTATGTCCCAAATGGGCCGTGAATTTTCTGCGCTTTTCCTGATCCGAAGGCACAAAGTTTCTCGCTTGTTTCCCCAGCCAGGATGCACTGAGCCT